AGGAATGCAGCATCGGATGCTTTGCTCCCCAACATGTTATATTTTATCAGACAGTGTTTGAGTGTCTTATGCCTATCTTTAAAAAATACAAAAAAGAACATTTTTACCAAATAGATTTTGCAGTTGCAGTTTGTGTTTCAGATCTTTATTTCTTTGGTCATGAGTGCAACACATGATTTTAAAGATCCAGGTTATATGACTATAAGAATAAGACTCATACTATAATAAATATTTTTAATCTATTATGATCTATTTGAAAAATTAGTATTAAATTATTGACTTTTTAGTCATTAAAATCCATTTTTTTTTCAATATTATTTATCGAGGTTTTTTTTTATTTGTGTTTTTATTTCATAATAGTGTAAAAAAAAAAAAAACTAAAAATGTTTAAAAAATTCAAGTAAATTTTACCTCAACTTTTCACTGAAACAAAGAACCATTTCTGATTCAAATTATGTTTCACAATGACTGGCATGCTCTTGGTTATGAGTGCCAAGAAGAATATGGAGATAACGTACAGTATTCAATATCAAAGTCCATACAACAATACAGTATAGGAGCAGAGCAAACACGGACCTCTAAAACATCAGAGGTGCAACTAAAATGTTTAAAAAATTACTACTGATTACAACCTCCACCCAAATATTTAGAAAACAATATTTCTGGTTGACTTCAAATACTTTCAGTCATTGCCTTGTGATGAAGTAAAATATATTATTTTGTTGATTTCACCATGATACATCATTTCTTTGTTTGAGGGGAAGACGAAATTGATGGTCCTATTCGATTTACTGAATTTTATGAATATTTTCATTTTAAAGTAAAACTATTAATGCTTGAACAAATGAGAAGATAAAGAACTAGAAAGTCTGCTATTGCAAGCAATAGCGTATGTCGCCCCGAACTGGACAAAACTTTCATTTTTTTCATCACTAAATCAATACCCATTAGCTAAGCTTGGACAACCATCAACTCGTATCAATCCTTTCAGTACTTTGGTTTAAAAATCAAAGTTCAAGAATTTTCACTTTCCCCTGGTTACCATGGCAACAATCAATTATTTGAAAATTTTAAATGCGAATCGCACAACTACAATTACCAATCATTAATCTAAGAAAGTTTCATGATGAATGTTCAAAGGACAAGAGAGAACACTTCCGGACAAATTTCGTTATTTTTCGCACGTTTTCTTGACAACGATTGCCATTTTGAAACTGAATGACCACACAACAAAAGTACAACCAGTGATCGTCTTTTGAGGAACAGCAATATGTCGCCCCCGACTTCGTTCGGGGCGACATAAATACAAGGGGAAATTGTAAGAATAGGGTTGGTTGTTTAATGCAGTGTTATTTAATACTGTCGGTCACTTTTAGCTGGAAACAACCGCAATAATGACCTATAAACACTACAAGACAAAATATTTTGGGAAGCTTCTGAAGTGAAGTTACAAAAACTGCCAGGGATCTGTCTTAACATGACATAGTACAGTACTAAGGGAGTATAGTTTTTATATATTTTAAGAGGAAAATTAGCAGTTTCTCTTTTCCAACAGCATTGTGGTTTGTTTTAGATACATGTAAACACCCCCCCCCCCCCCCCCCCCCCCCCCCCCACACACACACCCCCCCCCCCCCCCCCCAAACACACAAACAAAGTGACCATAATATGGAACAAACTATTACTACGTCTGCACGTTATTTCTAAATGTTGATCAGGGGTTTTATTGGTATATAAAAATCTTACGAAGAGAAATCATGATAAGGCATGTAAATACGGATGGTGCAGATCAAATCTGGTCATATCAGACGATATAACAGAGGAGAAAAGATTTTCATCTGAATTAACAGGAACAATGCTGCAAAAATAGTAAAGTTATAGTTTGCCATATTTATAAACAAAACTCCTTCGGTATTGGAGATTTAGGTTCATCTATGACAAGTCATTGTCAATGAGGATAGATTATGGTCATAACAGAGATTTTAATATTGACATAAAAGTATAAAAAGAAAAAGTATTTCAAAAGAAAACAAGATGTGTTTGTGAAACACTGATGCCCTCGTACGACAGCTTATGGCGAGTGTTGGATTCTCTCAAACACAGGTCATATTCCAGAGGTCAAGGTCAAAGGTGTTGGTACCCAAAGGATGGTCTTGTTACAAGGAATATATGAAATATGAAAGTCCTGGTTCTAACGTTCAAAACTTATGACCAAGATTAAAGTTTTTAAAAAGTGGGTCAAACTCTTAATTCAAGGTCAAAAATATTTATACCAGCTGAAAGGGATTGTCAAAATGTGAAGGATTTAAGCCCTAGCTCCAACTGTTCAAAGGTATGGCCAAGGTTATAGTTTGGTATTTTTGTAAAAGTATCCAGAAAACCCCAAGGTCAAAGTCAAATTTTATGGTATCCAAAAAATGGTCTTGCCACAAGGGATACACCTGTAAAATGTGAAAGCCATAGCCCCACCCACTCAATAGAACTTGGGCTAGGTTAAAGTTGACGACAGACAGAAAAACAAACAGACAGACAGAACAAAGACAATATACCCCCAAGATCTTTCGATCAGGGAGCATAAAAATGCTCCCAGAAACAGGGACATATCGAAACGCAAATTTATTCCAAAGTGTTCTGGACATAAGATTTGTATTTCTCCTCCACATTATGGATGCTTGGGATATGTTGGGACTAAAATGGAGATCAAATGTTTCGCGATATTTCTAGAGCAACAAATTCATGTTAGTCAATTGGAAATTAAAGATTCCCCATGTTGTGTGGATTTAAGGTCAATGAAGACATGACTCCATGCTAAGTGTAGTCACAGTCGGCCAACATTGTTCTTCGGAATGGGGAGAATAAATTATCTTTCCAACAAGATGTGTTTGTGAAACACCGATGCCCCCGTATGGCAACATAGCGAAGATTAAACTCTTCTTAAGGTACACCTTTACTCAGATGACTAAAAATTCCACTGATAAGAATAAAAAACAACCTATTGCACATTGTACAACTATGATTGTTGTGTTAAATTTCAATTTCAAATAACTAGGTCAATGACCTCGTTTTCATGCTAGTGGCCCCTGCGTATTTCTCGGGAAATACCTCAATTTTTCACACTATGACCATTTTTTTCTTCACTCACAAAATATTACAAGCAACAAAACTCTTTAAATAATGAAATATTATAGCAATGGAACAGAGTTCATCATATAAAGAATAAGTAGAGTTTGGGCCATAAACGTGATAATTATTACAGTCCGAATTTCCTTTGTCATATTTATATTTTTTCCTATATTTAATCAAATATTACAAAAATCTGAATGATAAGAACTCTAAATTATTTATAGCCTCATGTTACTTTTGTTACCCTCATTCTCATGGTATTAATATCATATAGGGTCAATGATCAAATTATTGAGATATGTTGTCTGGAGTGATTTTTGTACATATTTTTGAATTACTTTATTTCATAGCATTCATTTATTTGAAATAGTTTATGAACTTAAACACATATAATATTTGCAAAATGATGTCTTAAAATACATGTAACCTTTACTTTGTGATTAACATGGCAAGAAATAAAAATTCTGACAAAAAGGAAAAATTAAAGATCTAGTCCGAATTCCTCTGCATAGCCATACATTGAGTTTTGTTCTTGTTTATTTTCTTCAAGTACTAGCATATTAAATTTTTAAATTGATATTGAGATAACACTTAGTTATTTTATCCATTTAGAACAATTTTTTATTCAACATTTTAAGCTTTATGAAATTTCCTTTCTGATTTCTGAAACCTGAGTAAACGTCATCCTTAAATGCAAATTAAATAAAGTGGTACCCAAATAGGGTCTTCTCACAAAAAAACCGTTGTATAATATGAAAACTCTTGTACCACCTATGACCAAGGATAAGATTTTGAAAGGTAGGTCAACTTAAAGGTCAAAGGGTCAGAGTTGTTGGTTTCTTACGAAAGGTATTGTCAAAAATTGATTAAAATATTTGAAGTATGAAAGCCCTTGCCCTAACCGTTCAAAAGTTTTGGCCAAGGTTAACGTCTTTAAAAGGTAGGTCGAACTCCAAGGTCAAGGTCAAAGTTCTTGGAATCAACTGAAAGGTCTTGTCACAAGGATTAAATATGTGAAGTATGACCGCCCTATCCCTAACCTTCATAGCTATGGTTAGTTTTTAAGAATTAGGTCAAACTCCAAGGTCAAAATTCTTGGTATCCAATGAAAGGTCTTTTCACAAGAATTACATATATTAAGTATGAAACCCCTGGTCTTTACCATTCAAAAGTTCCGGGCAATGTAAAAGTTTTTTTCAGAAGTACGAAAATCTCCAAGGTCAAGGTCAAAATCGTTTGTATCCAGTGAAAGGTCTTGCCATAAATATTACATATGTGAAGAAGGAAAGTCCTAGTATCTACTGTTTAAAAGTTATGGGCCAAAGTTTGGAATTTTTGTGTAAAAGTGGGTCAAACTCCAAGATCAAAATAGGTGGTACCCAAAGAAAGGTCTTGACAAGGAATACACATGTGAAATATGAAAGTCAACTCTACTTAATCAAAAGCTATGGGCAAGGTTAAAGTTTTTGTGGACAAACAGACAGAAAGGCGGACGGACGGGTGGACACGACAAAAACTATATACCCCCAAATCTTCGATTAAGGGGGCATAAAAAATCTACAGAACAACGATATCATGTTTATCTTCATATTAAAGTATTCCGATGTCATGTTGGTTCAATTTCAATTCAGATATGTCCCCTTACATGAGGGATGGATCACAATTTGAGTTCTTTTCTCTACCCTAGCTCAATTATGATTCCAAAAATTTGAAGTTATGAGGAAGCAACAACTCGAACTATCTGTTTTATGACATGTAAAAGTGTTTATAATTTAATTTTCTTGAATGCACTAACGCTGTATATCACAGCGGCATACATTTTTTTTTTCGGCGAGATGTTGTTCATTTGATGAAAAGCAGTAATTATTGCAGCCAAATATAAATTCACCTCCCTCCACTCAAAGAATCTGCTTTACTCGAAGAACCTCTCGTCTGTTCGATCTGTGTAGATAGTACGCTTTAATTCTCATCCAGTGTGTTTATTCAAGATTCTAAATTACAGGAAAAAAACATACTTCCAAATTTGATCACACGACGAATTGAACGATCAATTGATCGTGAGTTTCAAGCCCAGGAGAAAAAAATCAAAGGCAGGCACAAGATGGGGAAGCCTTTCTCAAAACAGTTTCTGATGATGGATCCGTTAAGATAGATATACTCGCAGAAAATTCTGTTCCATCGATGTATTCAACCTGAAGTGATTTCCAGCCTCCGATCGGATATATATATATATATAATTGTTAATAATAGATTCTTACGGATATGCTATTTCCTTTTTACTTTTCCCTATCTCTAACATACATCGAACATTGAGCTGAAGGCTATACATTTGCTCTTCTCTGATGTTCTTCTTAACAGGAATGGTTACGGACACCCATCATGCAGTTCATTTGTGTTTCTATGAGATGGATGCTCGTTAGACTATGTGAAAGAGTTACCTTTTAAAAGAGAATCATAAAGGTTAATTGCAAATTACTTTTGTGTATCATCTGTTAACTACGATGTTTAAATGTACATCACGTGTGAAATAGGAGATTCACCAAAACCAAAACTGTCCTCAATTCAGCTTAAGGTAAGTTCTTCTGTTGACTTTTTTTAAATGAAAAAACTTAATTTGTGATAAGATTGTCGCTCAATTTTCCCTCACTATATATTTTTCTTCCAGGGTTAAACAATAGCAAGTTTCCTCAATTTCTTTTTTGTAATGTATTACCTGCAACATAAGCTTTAAAATAAAAAAAAAAGAATAGGAAGCATTGTTCTTTTGTAAAAATGAGGATTGTCATTATTTTTCTAAAGCACTGAAATGGAAACGATTTTATTTTTTCTCCTCAATGCATTCATATTTAGCGAAAGTTTTCAATTTTACGTCTAACGGTTTTAAGTTTGTTTATTATACTTTAATGAAGAGAGTGCACATATACACTGTATATGTATGAATGGAACACTGAAGTAACCATATTGATCAGTCAAGCAATATCTATAAAACGCGTTTCGTTTACATGAGGCTACTTTAGGCGTCGGATTTTTCAATTAATGATGGATGGAATTGGAATGGGGTGAAATAGTGAAAATAAAATGAGGGATAATGAATGTGGTCTGTAAATAAAAATGATAAAACAGGATAATGAAAATCTGTTACATGTAGCAAGCCACCATATCATTTTTATTCAACTTGAATTTCAACCAAGCCCGATTATTTTGGAAGATTCATCGCATTATTGATGTGCAACGTGGGAGAAAGGTCATATGAAAAATTGTACAGTGTTTAAATTATTATTGTAACTGACATGGGAACCCAGCAAGAATCTGCTAAGATTTGAATTTACTGATAAGCATCTTACATATGCTCACACGCAAATGTGCTAAAATTTCATCGTATTTAAAAGACTTGAAATACAAGATATCTTTAACCCCTGTTTAATTTTATTATAATGTATTAACGTTCATAAAATATATTTGTTAGATTAATTGGAAACGTCCTTGTAATTATTATATAATATGATCTGAATTTTCACACAAAAATTCGTCTGAACGTTTCAAAAAGAGTTTTCTCATTCCTTTAAGTAAATTATGGGAACTCTGGTGGTCATGGTTGTTGGGCATTTACCATCCTGATATCCGGGATGAAACCAACACTAGGATGCAACAAGTCAGAGATTCACATGAGTCATGTCAGGAACCATCGTTCCAATTGAAGAAGCAGTTCCCAATATAATAAGACATTTCGTTACATTCGTCATTGCAGCAAGATTGTCCCATTAGAATTAATTGAATTGCATCTGCATTTCCTTGATAACGGTGATTCATTTATGGTTAAGGCAAAGACAGTGAAACGCATGGAAATTGATTGTTTAACATTAAGAAGTATAGCTTTTGAAAAAGCTTTGCCGTCTTTAGCAATAACCATGAACAATAAACTGACATACACCTGTAATCTTGACCATATTATTCACGAGTATTGTAGTTGTTGGCTCTCTACATCTTCAGCAGCTCTTTACAGGCATTAGCCTTGCCATATAAAGGAAGAAAATAAAGAAATGCAAATACCGTATTCCCAAAAATTTATGTCTCTTACCCTGAACACTCCACAGCATTTCAACCAATTAAGTATTTAATATTGCATATCATGTATTTTCTATAAAGAGAGGAAGTGCACCGTCAGAAGACTTTATAATACTGCAACGCTGTAAACCGTCTTCTGAGTAAAATGCTTAAAATTTTTCTGATACCTTCTTGTAATTCAAATTTCTTACTTTTTGTATTTTCCCACCCGGTAAATTCATGACACATATCTGGAAAAAGTTGTGATTTTCGCGATGCGACTTTGATTACCTTAAATAATAAAAGGGGTATTTTAAAAGGGCAAAGCATATAATAAAAGGGGTTATTTAACAGGGAAAAATATTAGTGTTTTTTTCTTACCACAGATCTTTGGATACGCGAAAGACTAAATTAAATCTTGAAGTTTGCTTTTATTCTTTTATGTATTAATTTGTTTGGTTAACGTCCCTTTTCGAGTATTTTTCACTCATATTGAGACGCTGCACTTGTCAGAGGGCGGGGCTGCAAATTGGGAACTCAGGACCATTGAGCAGTAAAGGATCTTTTTCCTATGACACGGAATCTCTCGGTCTCTACTGCCCGCAGAGGGATTCAAACTCGAGACGTGAGAGTAAACGCCCCCCAGAGCAAACGATTCTACCACTGCGCCTTATAGGCGACTAAAAATATTTAACTTGTTAGCACGCACTTGAGCCTATTACTTATTTTCCAAGTGGCTGAAATACCACATCCGTCGGTTTTGTTTAATTCATAAATGAAAGAGATTGGAATTACCGATACTTTTGAAGGTACTCTAACGTAATTCCAATACCAGTAGTAAATTAACAGATTTCTCTGAATTGTGTTTTCCTCTTTATCTTAGAAAACTGTACATTAAAAAGCTTGTGAGGGCGGCTTAATCACTGGCATTTTATCGTGAACATAAATACCGAATAAGAACTAAATCGATGCTTAAGTTTCTTTTAAAAATGCCTATGCAATAATTATTCAATAAAGGATTGGACCACTCCCTAAGTCTAAGTTTGGAACTTACTTCGTTTTTTTTCCTAAATAATTCAAACAAATAGAAACTACATATGCAAAGACATTTCCAGAAGAGGATATAGAAACATTGCTTCTATAAAACATTTTAACTGAAACTTTGACTCTGTAATCCAATGGAATCGTGTTTTAAGGTACGTGTAAGAAAATGTGTGTTTGTTTGATATTTCGTTTGCAGTGAACTTTCCTTTTCATTGTTTGATTACCTTAAATAACGGAGGCACCAGGCTTCCTCGTTTGTCTAAGAGAAGTTTTCAAATCAAAACATTTGAGAATTGTTTTGATAACATACACCTGTGATGTGTTATGTAGAGACATTTGTGTATACTCTATGTTCGAGTTGTCTTCCACGGATCGCGCAGTAGATATATTTACTATTCAACAAGAATTATGAAACCCTTTTCAAGCTTTGTATTCACAAGACAGAGATGCTCAAATTCCAACAGTTACTTCAATTCCCTGAAAGAATTTCTGATGGTATGTGATATAGCAAATAGCTATATCCTTTTCTGTTTCGCTTGTCAAGCAATACATTTCGAAGGGACAAATTTATATAAAATAGAAATGGTTATTCATAAAAGGGATGCTCTATGTCTTATTCCTATCATAGGCGCTCCCCATGTAATTCTGTAAATGACGTATGATAAGTATATATAGGTCTACCCCTCTATACTATAAAATATCCAAGGCCTGCAACTGGGCGCCATTGTGGATTTCGCCTGGGACCTCTGACTGACTTACTTTAAGGGTTTCTGGGGTATACTGGGCTGGTTATCAGCATCGGGTACTGTAATTTATTGAAATAAAATATTTGCAAACTTTTATCCAGCACCATTCCGTTGCTTTCTCTTGTTTTCAAACATTTCTCTATTACACCGTCACACTTAGCTGATCTCGGCCGGAAGAAGTCGATTTCGTCGATTTTCAACAACTTCAAAATAACTTTCGGAAGTTTGACAATATTTAGTGGGGAAAGTACATAGGCGCTTGGTTTCAGGATGGTGTATGTTGTGTATTATGTGTTTTTTGGTTTGTCTGAATACCCTCATTAAATAAAAATGAAAACTCGCTGAAATTAGCACGTTTTAAAAATGTCATATTCCTCGGAGTTTTTTTTTTCTCTCTGGGGTACATTTTTTTGTTTCTGTACACAAGCCCCTGTGATACTCTTTGAGAAAATAAAAAAATATTATCTCGGAAAGAGGTACTGATTTTTCTAACTGATTTATTTTCTCTACACAAGTCCGTATGAGCTAGACAGGCACGTAGCAACAAGGGGGGGGGGAGGGGGGTTGCCAGCCCCTACTTTTTTCCCAACATTACCTTTACTATTGAAAATGTGCATTGAAAGGTTGGTTGCCCCCCCCCCCCCCCACACACACACTTATTACCATAGTATTGTGATATGAAGGAAAATGTACTAGTATTGTATGGGAAAAAAATGAAAGTGAAATGAAGTTGGCTTTGAAAAAAATTGGCCACTACCCCCCCCCCCCCCCCCCACCCCCCCGAAATAGGATTTTCGTGTTTGAGCGTTTTTTTTTTTCGGCTCGTCAACTTTTACAGGTAAGTGAAAAAAAAATGTTTCTCTCTGGCAGCCCCCCCCCCCCCCTCACTTTCAAAAACGATGCTACATGTACGTGCCTATGAGAGTATATATACTGTACATATGACATTTTTAAAACGTGCTATTAATTTCAGCGAGTTTTCATTTTTATTTAATGAGGGTATTCAGACAAACCAAAAAACACATAATACACAACATACACCATCCTGAAACCAAGCGCCTATGTTTTCCCCACTAAATATTGTCAAACTTCCGAAAGTTATTTTCGTACGAGTTGTTGAAAATCGACGAAATCGACTTCTTCCGGCCGAGATCAGCTAAGTGTGACGGTGTAATAGAGAAATGTTTGAAAACAAGAGAAAGCAACGGAATGGTGCTGGATAAAAGTTTGCAAATATTTTATTTCAATAAATTACAGTACCCGATGCTGATAACCAGCCCAGTATACCCCAGAAACCCTTAAAGTAAGTCAGTCAGAGGTCCCAGGCGAAATCCACAATGGCGCCCAGTTGCAGGCCTTGGATATTTTATAGTATAGAGGGGTAGACCTATATATACTTATCATACGTCATTTACAGAATTACATGGGGAGCGCCTATGATTCCTATGAGAGTAAATGCCCATGACATTGCCAAACTAAGGTGAATTGATTTATGTTCTTAATATGCTTTACTACTTTCATGTTCATCCTGTATGTAATATAATCATCTTATTTCATTCACCAAGATAAGTTAATTAATCTCATTAAGAAGACTGCAGATGTAACCATCTTGTCACACAAATTCAAAATTTAACCTACCTTAAAGCTTCTCCTCTTAATAAAGACAACGCAATGGGAGTATATGCAGACTTGTAGGGAGTTAATTTGAATAATTTCACAATCAATAATATCGACAGTT